TGTGTGTGTGTGTGTGTGTGTGTGTGTGTGTGTGTGTGTGTGTGTGTATGTTTGTTTTCTTCTGGTTCATCTCAGTGAGAAATGGAAGCAGCTTGTGTGACTGCATCATTGCTTTTATCGGTACAGTTTAACTGACAGTAGACTGCTGATGACCTTCAGGGATTCATTTTCTAACATCACCAGAAGATGATGAAGCATTTAAGCATCAATCACTTTGTGTAATCATCAACACTATTTCTCTTGACAGTTCTTGTTTGTTTGTTTGTTTGTTTGTTTGTTTTGGTTTGTTTGTTTTGGGTGGGGGTGGGGGGATGGGGGGGGTCTCAGGAGGATTCCTTTATCTGAGTGATGAATGGGAGTTCCTTTACACCAGATCACACTATTGTATATTAAATAGCTTTATCCATGTAAAAGCCAAGTGATCAGTTGGCAGCCTAGAGCATCATTAAGTTGATTTATTGTCTAAAGTGGAGAGCAAGACATGCTGTTTGTGTTCTATTGATTTTGACTTATAATAGAAAATTATGAGAATTAATCAAATCAGTCAGAAGTTGCCCGAAACCTTCCACTGAATGATTAAATGCAATGATCATGCTCTATGAAAGCCCACTTCTGTAATACCTCAAAGTTGTAAGTTTGTGTCTCAAAATTCTTGTTTATCTCAAAATGTCTTACTTGATGTCTCTTTTAAACAGTATCCTAAAATCCTGTGGAATATAAAGATAAAAAGTTTTTTCACAATTCCAAGCGGTGTGATGGTCTTTCAAAAAAGCAGAAAAGAAAATTCAACTTGAAGTAGTGGTGTTGGAAATGAGCTTTTGGCTCATCTTAATGATGTTGTAGCCAGGCCTTTATAACGCTCCTCTGCCTTGTAATACACAACATTTTTTCCTGAATTTGCTGGCTTTTTAATAGAGGACACCAGTCCCCACCGATCAAAACATATAAACTAAAGTAACACTGTAAAATACGAAAATGTTATTTCATTCATTAAAAAAATTTCAATTTCCTAACATGCCTTGATTTATTCAAGAAAAAACGTTTTAGTTTAGTGTGCTGCTGACAAACTGAAATATCGAGTTGAAAGTTACATGGAAATTAGAATTTTACTCTCATTTCTCTCCATAAAGTTAAGGTTTGGGCTGTAGGAGCCACCCGGCAGAACAATACCATCTCTGAAGAGTTCAATCAAAGCTTCTTGAGGGTTTTCTTTTCCTTTTTTTTTTGTCAAGCTTGTCATTAGTTGATAAAGCAATCCTGTAAGCAATTTTCTGGGTCATCCACACCTTTATTGAACCTTTTTAAAAACTTTTTGTGTTTTTTAGGTTGTCTGTCCTTGGGAGACAGAAGTGTTTTCCAAAACCTTTATGAAAAAATTTTCTGTCTCCTAAGGACAGGCTGTCCTCTGTTTGAACTCTGACAGCATACTGACAGCAAAACCAATAGGACAAATGTGGGTGGTTCAAATATGACACATAGTGCAAAAGTTGCTTACAATTGCTCCAACAAAAACTGTTTTTGTTGCATACATTGAATTCATGACACTGAAATCAGACACGCTGCATGAAATCTTACAGTTTATTTCCTCCAGTGAGTGTAATAGTTCCTGTCCAAGCTAGGGAAGTTCTGTTGACACCATTAGGGAGTCCATTTGGATATATATTGGGAATATATATGAACTAAAATGCCAACAGTATCTTTACTATTCAGTGACACAAACCAACTGGAGAACTTTATCCAGCCGTCTGACTCACAGAAACTTTGTGCTGAATTGCCACATGAGAACATTAAATCCCACTTAAGCTTCTGCACAAGCGAACGATGGCTCTGTCTTTCCCATGACCATTCAAAATCATCTGCCAAAGGTATTGTCATCCCTCAATAAACAAGCCCAAACAGCAAAAGGGGGGAGGACAAACAAAACAAAATGTCATTGAGACAAATTACTATGCTTTCCATGGAAGGTCATCCTGTAAACTCTCAACTGGATCTTGATTAAAATGCAGAGTTCCTTCTTCAGCTGTCAGCAATCAGCTTACACAGTGTGACTGGAAAGCTAAAACAATCTGTGAGATTTATTCAGTCCACACCACAATAGTGATGGGTGGGGGGAAATCCTCCAGGACGCCAACAAAGCAAACATTGTCATAGAAAGTGGAGACGGAGGGGTCGCTGGCTGCCCACATCATGCTGGATGATTTTTCACCAGCACCTGCCATGTGCGGCTGACCCATGTGACACCACGACATTATAGTCGATGCTTTGATTTTCTATCTTTAGTTTAAGTCATGTAACATGCGTTGAAATTTTAATAATATGTGGAGGAAAATGTGGGTCAATGTGGCAACCAAAAGGAGCATTAATAGCATTAAGCATTAATACAGAGAAGAACGTGAAGTCATTTTTAAAAAAAGAACAGCTCTAGAAAATCTCTTTATGCTTTAGAAGACATTCATTTTGACTTAATGTGATGAAGAGTGGCTTTATGGTGAAACACTTCCTTTAGGTAATTTAGGTTTTAAATGAAACACGCCGTCATTTCTGATGAATCTCAGTTCTAGCAGTCATGTGTTGCTGAGCGGTATAGTCTGATGGGAGCTTGGTTTTGGAAACAGTTTTAAACACACTGTGTGGAGTCATTGTAAGCATTCACGCTTTTTTTTTTATCTGTTGGTTTTGTGATTTCCTGTATTATTTCTTGAAGAATTCCACTTTAATGCAGACTCAAAAATGTCTTTGTAGCCAGGCAGCTTTTGGTGCTCAAGTGATTTTCTATTCGTCTTGCTTTATACGCTACCTGCACATTTGTGGACGTGGATCATCTCTCACTATTGGATTGAACCACTGTGCTCAAATTCCTCTAGCATGTAGAATTTTCCATAACTCTCACACCGACTTGCTGTCAGCGAGCAATAACTTCGATCTGATTAGCTGAGAGGGGACATACCTGCATCTGCTGAAGTGGAGTCAGACCAGCCTTTTGTAAATAAATGTGTTTCCCATACTACACGTGAACTTGTCAAGCTCTCTCTGCAGCCTGACTTCACCATGGATATTGATATTCTTTTTGAGTCTTTTTTATGCCCTTAAAGATTATCTGAAAAACTCCACAGCTCACCCTGCTTTTGCAGGCAGTTCACGTTGCCTCCTGTCAAATGCTTTTCCACAGTTGAATATCAACAGGGCTGATGCAGAGGGCCCCATCAGGACACTGGAGCCACCCCACCTTTTTTTTCTCAGTTTCAGCAGAAACAAGTAAATATGAAGGACTGTAAGAGAACCCTCCGTTTAAAGAGATTTCATTTTAGTTCGGGGGTATTTTTCCTTACACTCACTGAGCTTTTACTTGTGCCTGCTAAGTTAAAATGCCCAAAGCTCATTCTTTCTAACAGAAAACACTGCTCCTCGGTTTCTCCAACTGCATGCTGTTCTGCTCCATCTCTTCATATATGAATAAAAAATAAAAAGTAGTGTCTTTGAAAGACAATCGATAAAATGTATGATCTGAAATGCTCTCTCTAGGTAAAGCCTACGCCCCGGAGTTCTACTATGATACCTACAACCCTCTCTGGCAGAACAGGCCCAGGGTTTATGGTTTCAAGCTGCAGTGGACCCAGATGAACCCCAACGCCGTGGACCGCATCGTGGCCTACAGACTGGGCATCAGACAGGTAGGAGTGCTCACCCTCCTGCCTGTTTCTTTTATTCTCTTGTGAAACTGCTGTTCAGTGTCCACTGCTCTCGGGGACCTTTTGTCACTGCCAAAACATGAGTTCTTAAAATTTCAAATGTTGGCTTGAAAAACAATGAATACTCAATCATGCCCGGTGGTCATACTCTTAAACTCACATTGCGAATGAGGGTCATTTCTGCCCAGTAGTGGTAGAAATAAAAACTTGGCAAATTAATATTTGATAGAGGTTTTCTTGTTGTATTCCATTGGCAGAGCTGCATGAAATAAATGTTATCGTAGTCTGTGCCAGAGTGCAGTTTTTTGAGCCTGTGAATGAGAGAGGACCGGTCAGGGGCAGCTGGTTGACCACGTCCTGTGGTTCCCCCAAACTGTTTTCTATTTTGGCTCTCCATCAGTGTGAAGAAGTGGATCCCTGCAGCAAGAATTAGCCAGCATAGCTCTTGTTTTGCCTGCCTCTCCAGTAAGCCCCACACATGACTGGCAGATGGCACCGGTGATGGATGGCATGGTCATGTTTTCTCCTCTGGCCACGAGAGCGTCCCTGAATCTCTTGATGTCTCTGTTCCTGCCATCCCTGCCCCCATTACTCCATCCCCAAGCCTGTTCGAGAGCATGTTTGGTCCTTTTTATTTTAACAGATGTACGCGTCCCACTGTCTCAATAAACGTTGAACTGATTCCATCTAAGAATGTTAAAACATAACAGTAATTATAATCAATCTGACATTTATATTTTGGCCTGATGTGTTTGATTATACAGAAATCTCAGTTGTTCAAATCAAACCATTATTTCAGTCCTAAACTCCTGTTTTGACTTTATTCTGATTTTCAAAAGAAGAGAAAAAAAGAACTTAGAAAAGGCTGAGTTGAATTAGTCTGGCAGCAACATATTCATTTTCAAGTTTTCTTTTGATATTGCGATAACAATGTTTTTGTAAGTGCTTTTGGCCATGATAATAACACAGTGCAATTCAAATTTCATGACAGCCTCTGTAGCATTTATGAAATGAAAGATGAACTCAAATGGAAAAAATGCCTTATTAATCCCAAAGGGAAATTATAACATCACCCAAATTCAGATGAATTTTATTTGCATTTATTTGCATTTCAGCATTGGGCTCAGATTTTTTATAGAAGTTACACACACAAACAGGGAGGTGGCAAACACATCCTCACTTGTGTTTGTAATGAATAATATAAATTCTTGTTTGTGTCACGCTACACCCTCGAGTGACTGAAGCTTGAAAACTCAATCTCAAGTCTAAAATGTTTGGGTGGTGCATTGACTTTTCTGTCTTCTATCTTAGCTGCCCTTTTGGCAAATGTAGAGAAATTATACCATACTTGCTGGATGTTTCTCTGAAAGCATGCCAAGCATCTTCATTGGTTTGTCCTATTTCGAGCTGGTACTTTGAGGTTTTTTCAACTACGCTTGATCGGATAACCAGAAACCATACATTCAACCATAACTATTCAGTTTTCTCTGTTTTATGTTTACTAAGAAAATATCATCAATGCTCCAGTGTATTAAAGCAGTAGAAATTCATTTCTTTCCACCTTCTTCCCCAAAACTCTGCATGAGCATTATTTTCTTCCTTTTAGGCATAACATTCCATCTCTCTCTGTCTTCGTTGAAAGAGAGCAGTTTCAGCCACTGCTGTACATCATACCTTCTGTTATTGATTGTGTCAGTGGTTAGTCTCAGCTGTGATTGATAGCAAGATTTAAGATTTAAATGCCTTTTTTGTCGAGCAACGAGCTGGAGCCAGAAAGAGGCAAAAGCCAGAACAAGATCAATTAAGAAAAAAGGATTAAAATGAGTAGAAGTGGAGGCTCCTTTTGCAAATAAAGAATGATGATACAAATCTAAACTGCTCGTAAAAGACTGGCGCAGTAAAGAAAGCTCCGACATGCCGACTACACTGCTCCATTCTATTTATAGATCCAGCAGCAGCTCACCTGTCATTCCCCGGGAATTATTATCATCTTCTCCCACTGCCTCTGAATTAATACTTAGAACTGGTAGACCTTATGCCTTTGTATCAGATTGCTTTGTGTTACCGTCCGGTGCTCTCATGACAGTGAGTCTGGCTGAGGGGAAGATGGGAATGAAGCTGTGGCTGAAAGGCAGGCACCAGCCAGAGGCACAAAACGCAAATCACCACAGCTGTCAAGGATGCGGTGGATGGCTGTGACATCTGCCCTTGTTTTGATACTGTGGCTTCAGCACCTTCCTCTCTCTCTGGGATCTTGATTGCCTGTCTCCATTCTCACAAAGCGGCCTGCGTTCTGCAGCCCATGTAGCACGTGGCATGTTTGGAGCTGCATCCCACCACTACACAGTCTGATAAATCTTCCTGACGGTTTTTTGCTGCTATAGATTTTGTTTCCTACTTCAACTGCCGTTACTGTTACCTGTCATCGCTCTTCAGACTGAGCGTGCAGTGTCCCTTGAAGTTGGAAAGCAAGATGTTCACAGCCACTCTGAGAGCAACCCAAATCCTCATGTTTATACTATGTTTGATGAATAGAAGCTTCTACAAAATTTGAACATTCGCATCACCTGGCATGTTGTAGCTATAGGTAAATGTGCATTTGCGCAGCAATATTGTGCGTATTCTCCCATCCTAAATAACACATAATCCTAATTGTGGTGTATATTAAGTTACATATAGCCACTGGGATATTTGCCCATACTAAACCTTAATTATATCCATCCCTTGATAAAAAACCCAGAGCAACACTCCAAAAGCACATCTTATTTTTACCTGCATCTTGTTCTGTTCCGTAATGAATGTGCTGCTGGAGCTGCTGTTGCCAGGTTTTGCGCAACAACAATCTGATAAATGGACAAATGCTTAATGGACAGTACTTACAGCACATTTCAGTTCTTTTTAATCATTGAAAGCAGTTCTACACTACAAGTAACATTCACTCATTTGCACACCCCTGCATCCCTTCTTAGTTTCAGTGTTAGAGGGTCAACTATGTTTTTTTTGTTTTTTCTACACAGGCAAAGAGATGCATGCATCAGAGGCAGCATAGGGTTCCTATTCAAAAATAAAATTTAAAGGTGTTGCTAACATGTGACAAAGCAGGGTGTGAAATTAAATACATAACATTACCATTACAACACAGCACGCATACACTAAGACAGTTGTAGTCCTTACAGCTCAGTTTGATTGTGAGTTTCTCAGAATATGGCATTGTTTTGGTTGAAGTGATCTGAAAATGTTCGTTAAATGTCAGTTTCTCACTCTGAGCGGGTCTTAATCAGGTCATATCAGAGTATTGCTGCCCATGTAAACGTAGCCACTGATTGCAAACAAGCTGTAGCCCTAACAAGCTGACAATCTGAAACCTCGGAAGAGTCTACGCTGAAATCTTTCAGCGACCGCAATTTTGCATCGTGCTCCTCTTTTCTTTTTACAGGAAGCAGATATGCAGTCGCGCTCTGTGTCATCTTACTCGAAATGTTGAAAAGGCTTCCCTTTTACTTTGTGTTTTTCGTTGTTATCGGTCGGAGAAAGCATGAGCGAAGCTGGCGCAAGATTTTCACAACCACTTTCACAACCAGGTTTTTAAACCTATCTCATAGGTGTTTAAAAAAGTCCTGCTGATAACATACGGGCGATCAAAATTGTAGTTTGAAATCATAGTTTGGTCGTTACCCAGGTTTAGTTTTTTGGCTCTTGCTTTCGCCAGGATCAATCACATTTTGAATTAAAGGCACCTGCCACCAACAAACTGAAGAACCTCATGTCTAGAAGTCCTGTCAGCGGCTGCTGGAGAAACGGCGGCTCTGATGGGAGGAGGCACCGGGTGCAGAGCACCAGAGCTAAAGAGTGCACCAGACAGCCCCCCGTGTGCGCGCTGTGCAGTGACAACTCTTAGACAGTCACATAGCAGCAGGGCGTAGGACGCAGATGATGAAGTGTACGTGGAAAAGCTGGAAGGGTGTCAGGGACCATCTGCGCCAAATATGGGCTGGAAATCTCAAATTCAAAGAGGACGGCACCTCCAAAGAGTAATGACTGAGCTGAGATCCTGTGGGTCTTCCAGAGCCAGACTGACAAACCGCTGACACCTAACCAAATGCACATAAGGTAGTAGATGGAACAGAAGGATCACGAGAGGATAGAAAACTAAAAAAGAAAGTACAAGAAAACTGGGAACTATAATGTCAGGAGTGACTTTTAGATGTGAAAGCTGCTCTGGTAGATCCAGGGAACATCATCAGAAATCTCAGACCTTCAAACCATACTCTAATTCTGTTTAGTTGTTTTGGGGTTTTTTGTCTTTTTATGTAACACTAGATATCAGGGTTCAGCGATGGAAAATGTAATCTTTTTCAGAAAGAAATAACGCCCAAATAAATTGAGTGTAAAATACATGTAGTCCCTCAGAACCTCATTAGAGGTTAAAGCAGGGGTTGAAATGCATATGCTCCACATCACATCTCAAATTCTTGATTTCTTCATGTTTTCTCATGATTGAATTGTTTTCAGTTTTATTTTTTATTTTAAAACAGTCAATTTTCTTGCTCTTTTTAGTCACCAGTTCTTCAGTCTTTCCTTTTTTTTTGTTTTATTGTCTTTGTGACTTGGGACTGGGTTTAGCATTTTGTCTTTGTCATCTTCCTGTTTGCTTCCATAGACGTAAGTAAGCACTTTTTCTGAATGTCAGGGTAAAATAATCACTGAAACATTTGCTATTTCATTTAATATGAATTTATAACAGGCCCTGGAGAGATATGAATTGCAGGGAGAGCTTGGTTGAAAGCTCACCAGCAAACAGACATTAAAAAGCATTATGGCCGCATTTTGGAACTGCATAATAGGAGTTCACTTGTGTAAAGCACTTAAGTTATCTGCCGAGTACCTGATAAGGAGCTTGTCCTAAATTCAAAATGAAGCAACCAGTGCTCTGCCTGAGCTAATGTCCTGAATGAATGGACATGGAGAGCACCCCCAAATTCTGCTACTAGCCTCTTCCTTGGATTTTCTGGGGTTTGTGTGATTTCTTCAGTGAACAAAAGGTAATTATTTTCCTTTTCAAATTGTACGTGATGTGAAAAAAAAATTGTCAAGGATAGCTGCGAGCAAGAGGAAATGTAAGGTAGTGTGTAGGTAGGAGAAAAATCTTTAGAGGTTACATGGCCGATCTTGTAGATGAAGACAGATAGCCTTCATAATGAAATGAGTGTAAATTAGATCTCATTTCTAATTTCAAGAATGCCTTGTTCCACCCTTAACAATATAAAAGATGACACTGTGGACTCAAGAGAAGATTGAGGCCACTAACTGCATGTTTAGTTATATTGATTTTTTACTTTACAGTATCGCGTCTTCCCAGACAAACATGACTGATTGTGTTATATTCTCAGCTTCTATTTGGACTGTGAAAATGAATTAAATATTCATTATATATTTGGACTGTGAAATTATTAAACTTCAAATGTGGGGCCAAATGTCAAAATTTTGGTGAACAGTGCAACATGGGCAAAACATTTAGGTATGCTACATCTGCATTTTGTGAAGGGAATATTTAAATAGTCAGTTTCTTCTCTTTTTTTTTCTGTGTGATGACTGTCCCTTCTGAGATGCACTTAAAGTATCTATTATTATATAATACTATTACTTATTATAGTCTCCTAATATATATTATTTGTCTAGTAATATAATACCATTTTGTAAGAGAGTTTCCACACCGCAAATCAGAGAGAGCAAAAAAAGGCAACTGAGTAATGTGAAAAAACAAAGACTCATGAGATAACCATGGTTATACATATTGTTGGAGGTATTTCCTTTCACCTCTGTTCTGCTGCAGAAGACTTGGAACATTCCTCAACGGAGAAAACCGATATCCTCTTTTTTCTCCTCTAGTTCGGTTAGATTGTTTATTTCTAACAAAAAAAAAAGACTTACACACTGATGCAGACACACACACACACACACACACACAAAGGTCAACACTATGTAATTTATAGCAATTAACAGCCACGACTTGAAGGAAAAGAATTTTCAGAGGAGGGACAACATCTGTCCAACATCTGTAATTACCTGTGAAGGATAAAACTCTCTATTTACCTGCAAGTCACTGGTGATGAAAATTTGCAGCCCGTAATTGCAGATCATCCAGTTTCCAACTAATTACTTCAATTGTTTTGTTTTCACTCACTACTTCACTGCTATTACTCACTCACTCCATTCATCTCTCTGTGCTCTTCTTCTTTTTCTCGTGCTGAGAAGAACTTGAACATTGACTAATCTCGATGCAGTGGCGGTAACTTCTCTCTGAGCAGGTCGCTGCCTTAAGCTGATTCTCAAGGATAAAAATTACCCTACTTCTCTGCTTTTAGCCCACAGCAACCCCTCGTTTTTCCACCCTTTTGAATTTGAATGAGCTGTGTTGTTGTGAAAATACATCATTCAGTGAGTGATGAAAGAGATGAAAAGCAGTTAAACGTCTCTGTGATGCTTCAGCTTAGTTGTACAATGACAGGTTTACGAACGTGCCGCTCATTCTCAGGAGACTGCATTCGAAGTTCTCGGTCCATAGTTAAAGATGACAGCAAAAAAATCAAGATTATAGAAATGCTTTAAAGGAATGGCACTGATACAAATGTGTTTGCAAAAAAAGACTTGTGCAAACCCAACGCTGTAAATTTGTTTGAATTGGGAAAAAAATATACATCAGTGCAAATATAGAAATATCTAGGCTGCTCGGTGGTGTTTTAATTGAGGGGCTCCAAGCTGCTGTGAAAGAACGAGAAAAAGAAATTAGGCTAACGAGCATCTTGCTGTCAATAGCTTTCAAAGAAAAAGTTGCTGTCGTTGTTAAAGAGTACATGAGTCTCCTGCTCACATACTGCGTGTAATATTGATTCAGCGGCAAAACTCTCAGAACAAGTGTTTTGCGCTTAAAATACTTTCCTGTGGAGCAAAAAGAAGTTGAAGAACTACACCGTTCATTCCAGTAAAAGATCAAACTTTAATAGATGCTGTATCAAAATATGCTTATGATGACTTTAAGGAGTCTAACAAGAGAAGCACCACAAGTTTCTTTCATTTCTTATGTTCTTTTCTTTTTTCTTTTTCTTTTTGTTGTTAAAGTTTTGTTGCACGTAGTGGCCTTTACCTATTTTTGCCGGAAAAGGCCACAAGCAGGAATTAAACCCACAGAGCCTAGAGGCTCCTCAACCCACTGAGCTAAAGAGCAGCTCAGTTATTCTGTTTTAAAACTCTTAAGGTTCATCCTTTTTTCTCTCTCTCTCTCTCTCTCTCTTTTTATCTTTATGATACAAAAATAAAAACAATTCAAACCAAGGATTAGAATTCCCCTCCGAAGTCAGATAACTTAAAGTAGCATATCAATGATAGACTTAACACTTTTGCAATCATCTAAGTTGTGTTTTTATACATCTGGCCTTCGCACATCTGCTCCTTACTTTCAGGAATTAACCCAATATCATATGACCACAATCATGTTCACACATCTGCAGTAGATTTTTTATTATGTCAAAGTTTTCCAAAACTTTATAAGTTTAGCATTTGTTTGGTTGTATATTTTTTTTCTTGAAATCTCTCAAAAGCTCTTCTGGAATTGCTTGACAGCTCAAACTCATCCAAAATATCCCATCCAATCCAAGTACAACACTGCTAAAAGAAAAAAGGAAAATGATAGCAGTAACAGCTCACGATGGTTTGGGGGATCAATAATGAATAAAATGAATTTGGCTCTGCAAACAGATGAGAGTGTTGGTGGAGTTGGATCATTCCAACAGCTCCTTTGGTTCTTCTTTCGTTCCAGATGGGGCAGCAGCGCTGGTGGGAGCAGGAAATCCCGGTGGAGGGCACCCTCAACAGAGGCGAGCTCATAACACACAACCTGACTGAGCTGATAAAACCAGAATCCTATGAGGTGCGCCTCACCCCCATCACGCGCTTCGGAGAGGGTGACTCCGCCATCCGGATAGTCACTTACAGCGGTGAGTGCCACTCCATGTGACCTCTGCCCTTCTGTTTCCTCAGGTTTCATCTTCTGCTTGCGGACATTGGTAGTTTAAGTCCGACTAATACTGGAATGGGGTAGAGGCTCACAAAACATCAGATGACTCAAACATGTCATATGTCTAAAACTACCAAGGGGCACTTGTCAGAGATGAGTCATGTATTGCTCCACTCAATTTGGCCCCCGACAACATAGGGTCCGTCTCCTGAAATGTTTCTCATTTAGCACAGAGGTTTGGTTTGATTACCCTTTTTTTCTTAGCCCTTTCGAAATTCACATTTCATAGAGAATGAGATCGCACGGCCTTCACACAGACTGATGAGCCAAACATTGCAGTAATAATGCTTACAGGTGTTCCTCGTCCACAAAGGGAAATGAAGGCTAAGAAGCTCAAGCAAAGTGTTTTACAATATATTAACAAGATAAAATGTGTTTTTCTTACAATAAAATGTTCAAGAACAAAGACCAGAAGCAAGCAATGGACTGACTGTGTGAAATAATAGAGACCATGCAGGGCTAGCAGATTATCAATGATGTAATAGAAAAGTTCTCCCTCACAGTTTTTTACTGGATTTGTTTCCTTAATCTCACTAAAAGCATTACAATTTCAAGAAGTAATGGTTGGGATTTTGCACTATTTGCTTTGGACAAATAGAAATATTTTCAAAACAGACAAAATCTGTCACTAAGAATGCTGAATCAGACCAAAGGACATACGAAAAAATACAAGTGCAGTCAATAGAGTAGAACACAAGTTGAAATTGAAGAAATTAAATGAAACACATCCACACTAGCACAGGAATACAGCAAATGCCAACTCAGCAAAAAACAGGAAATGAGCAACAGTGACAAGAAGGAAGACATTTTCATGTTAGCGGGTCCCTCACTGAGGACAAAAGCTACCTGATAAGCGCTGTTATATTTCTTATTTCTCTTCCAGTGTGAAAGATGTGAAAGGGAAGGAAAACGGAGAGGAAGAAGCCTAAAATGTGAGACAAAAAAAACAGAAGTGAGGTTAAACTCAAATAGGATTGGCTGTGTGATGAAAGAACAGCCTGAAGCAGCCAAAACTAGCAGTCAGGAGAACATCACATAGATTTTGTGTACTTTAAGATTTATCAGACCAGACCAGTGAGAATACATTAAAGCGTGCAGTGTTCTCTGCAGAATAAAATAGCAGTTTGATTTTTTGTTTCCTTTTTTCCAGCTTGTCGGATAGGCAAGCCTGCCAAAATACAGAAATAATTCTTCTGTAGTATCAACAGTCAGCCCGGCAGTCCCAGTGAGAACACTCAGAGGTAGAGAGATGTGCATTTTCATAAACTAGCTCCTCTGTCTATCTCTGGCTGCTGAGTTTGTCCTGAGTGGTGCTGCTGCAGTTGTCAATAATTCAGTTTCACTGCAGCTCATCGTGGCTGGTGGAAAGATAATTGGAGAAGAGGGGAGGATAGAGAAGGAGATAAATTCCCACCTCTGTTTTTTTTTAGTAGTTTGTAGCGTTGCGTGTTCTTTACTAAACCTTGAACTGGATTCAGTTTGGGTGACTCAAACTGAATCCTGTTAAAGTGAGCTAAGAAGAAGTGTGGTTGATTAAGAAAGGGGGAGACATGTTGGGACTGAGGAGGAAGAGAGACGGAGAAAAAAGTAAGTTTGGTGTGTAAATCGCCTGCCCAAGGAGAGACCGAACTAATTACCATTCTCCGACTCCAGGATGAGCCAAATCCTTTATGCTCTGAAAATGTGTCATGCTCAGTGCCACGACTGACATTTAAATGGGGTCCTGAATCGTTGTTGTTTTTGCTTCTGTTAAATTCTCACTGGAAAAAAAGGCCTAAACTGTTCCCTGGTGCTTAAATAGTATTTAGTAAATAAGTTTGTTTTACTAAAACAACCATGTCTGAAACAAGGTTTTCTGCAGGTTCCTAAAGGAATGTGTAAACTTCCACCTGATTTGTGACTATCTTAAATACTGCAAATGACAGAATTTCATTAACCCAGTTACACTGTAAATCCATAAACACATTCCTCTCGGTTTTTAAAATCTTTGCCCACAACAAACTGTTGCTGATATGGGCTTATTTTCACCAGGGATAAACAAAAGTTTATTTTCGGCGTGATGGACCTGCTTATAGGAGATCCAGTGATGAAATAAGAAATCACTCGTTCCAATTTCAAACTGGAAAAATATTGAAAATATCTATCTGTGAATATGTTTTTTTTTTTTTTTACTTCCAAGTCCATTTTTATGTTTGCTGTGGCCCGGTGCAAATGGCCCTCTGTGCCTTTCATGGTGCACAGTGAGATTGTCTCTTTCTCTCTCTCTGACACAGCAGATTATATATTGTGTTAAACACTGCTTCTATAGTTTAACATAAGGCCTCTAAAAGTTGTATAAGACCTTTTATTTTTCATGGCTGTCTTGTAGTCAAAGCCATTACCTTTAGTCCCAGGAAGCCGATGGCAACAGCATTTCTGTGACTTGGCAAGAAAGCACAGAAAGCGGTTACCGTGTCCCCTGCTGGAGGATGAAGAATGGTTGTGTCACCAAACACTGAGGACGCTCTTTTAAATTTTGCTGCAGTGACAAACTCAGCATCTGTTTGGTGTTCCTTATCAAGCGTCTCTCTTTCCATGACTGTAGTTTTGCTCCACGTTGGTGGATTAATGTCTGAGCGTGGTGTCAGCCCTCACAGTCCCGCAGCACAATACTGCTGCTTTTTCTTAATATTCCATTTTTATGGACCTCATAGGAGAGTTTAGAGTAGCATTTCTCCTCTAAATCTTAAATCAAACACAGTTTGGTGCTTTCCCTGAGCTGTATTTGAACCAGTGGTTGTCCAGTAACATCGCAGTGTGAGCATTTTTTTTCCTGTCATGGTGCAGAATCCCTTTTTACATGAGAAATTGGTGAAACACAATTCCTAAAATGTATTATATTTCGTCTTTGTAGGACTTCTTTTTTAACCTGCCCCAAGCTTTCAGTCAGACCAGGGTGAGGACGAGGAAACTGTAACATCAGAACAGTGATTTAAAGAATACATTACTATCTCGTAACAATGAGTCAGTGAAGACTGCGACTAATGTGAACAATCAGAAATCCAGCAAATCCCACATCATTTCAGAAAGTGGTGTCACGTAATGGCCCTGGCTTTGTTACATATTACTTCAAGGTGGAATAAATTGAAACATCCTCATTGTTATTAGTTTTAGTACATTTGATCTTTATTGAGTTATATTTCAATAGTAAACGCAAAATGACTTTGCTGCTGGGGAAATTACTGTGAGAAATGCTTGATTAAATGGTTAAGTGAATTAAATACAATATGGATTCATGGTATTCTGTGTAAAGTGGAGAGCAGAGGGAAGAATATTTCTAAGATTTATACAGAATACTGTGAATCCGTTCAGAGGACGTTTTTAAGGAGACAATAACTCAGCTCAAGCAGCCTTGGCGGGCACCGCTGGACTCTCTGGGTAGACAACATTGACAGAAACTCACGACCAACAGTGCAACATCTGGGCTGAGAAAAGTGTGTCTTCTGTAACCGGGCACGGCTCTATCCATTCTCCTTTACTCTTGGCGCTTTCTGCAATCTGTGCATATAATCTAACAGCTGTGTAGAGAAGGATTTGAGTCTGGAATGTGTTCCTGCAGCCAAAACTCACTGAAATAAAATAAAAAAACATGTTTTCCATTTTCCTGCTATGGCCTCAAAAGATTTTCCGTTTATGTGAGTTCACATTCCTTATGACAATCCTTTCCTTATGAGGATCAGTATTCTCTTGATGGGAATCCATGCAATAGTTTCTATCAGCAGCCAGTCGAATACATAATGATGCAACAAGACAACGGGCACAAACTTAGTTTCATCCTGCTTGGAAACAGCTCAGAGACAACACCTGTAAATGTTGTTTTTGTTTTTTTTTGTTTTTTTACACAAATCAAATTACATTGAGCTTTGCTGATGGGTAGACACATTTGCCTCCTGGCAGATTTAAGGTAGTAGTTACGATAATCTAAACTTACCAGCTGTGCCAGGCTGCACCGAGGGGGTTTGTCTGGTTGGTTATGCTCCGTTTGACACTCCTTTGAAACCAGCTCCTGCAGAGCCCGCAGCGGCGCCAGGTTTGATTCAGAAGGTTCTTGTTGCTGATGCGGAAAGTCAGTTGACATGTATGCTGTGCTTTCTTGGGGGTTTTATTTATTTATCTATTTTGCACACCTCTTTTTGTTGTTGTTGTTTCAGTTCGCTGCTTTAAATCCAGTGCAACGCTGATCCATGTGGGAGTCCATTAGGATCTCTGTTGCTTGCATCAACGTCTCTGACTGATGCAAGCGCAGAACAACACCCAGGCAGTGATTAGGCCGGGCTGCCCTGATTGTGTTTGAATGTGTCCATGGGTATACATGTGAAACTGCAGGGTGTGTGCAGAGCAGTACATCCTCTGAACAAGATTTTAGTTGAAGGACACAAAAGAGTGATGTTGCTCTTGTTATTTCAGTCACGGAGACAGGGGAGAATAATGAGTGAATTACATTTACCCACACAGTTAGCCTACCAACTAATGCTGTACGGTGCAAGGCCATCACAGGGCACCCATCTAGACACCTAGAAACTCCAGGGATGAGATTTTCCCCAACGTATAGATTATATGAGGTTAATCAAAACCAAAAAAATAAATAAATATGGAGAAGCCAAGCTATTGTTGCTTGCGTGAGGACAGATGGCTGCAGCCGCGTTATTGTCTGCTGCTTTGTTCTAAAACTGGAGGCCAGTGGGCAGAGATTCCTGCCAAGATGAAGTCAGCGGTTGTGTTTGGAGCTGCCTCCACAGACCAATGTCCCTTTGGCGGTCACTGAGCTCGCTTTCTGTTTCAATCTAAATTAGGCACTTTGGATTGAAGTCAGTCATGCGTCCAGCAGGAGTTTGTGTCATCCTCTTAGCTGGAACCGCTGAAACCATCGGTCACTAATGCACCTTATGAGGCTTACCTCACCGCCCTTTATTATCAGAAGAAGTTTTTTATCCTGGCAACTATCAGAATGACATTTCTACCTCTGCCACTATTTGGGGCTATTTTTGCTCCTGGGGGAGAGCGTGGTGCAGCAGCATTATTTGATAGTCTGAGACAGTATTTTTCATCTTGCTCAAGGGTTCTCACACCAAAGTCTGAACAACACAATGCATTTTCTGGAGAGCAAAGATGAATCCCTCTTTTTTTTTTTTTCGAGAGGAAAATATATTCAAGCACTTTTCTTAAAAGAAAACCTGCAAGTCCGGAGTTAATCCCTGTCTCAAATAAATGTGTTCCTTGTTTTTTGCCTGTTCAGTGCAGTCATACATAATGCAGGTTTAATTGTCTGTTAGTGCATGTGTGTTTTGGGGAGTGAGTGCTCACACACATCAGTAGAGAAGTTGCCTCGGGGCCTACTCCTCAGTGCTCGGCATGACTTCCGCAGTGGGGGGGGGAGACATTGTTCGAGTAGACACGTTCATCTGGACTCAGGCACAGTGAGTCAGCCAGGAGCTGCAGGTAAGAAATAAGACAACAAAATATACTTTCATAGCTGCAGAGTTGGAAAGAAGAGAGGGGGAGAGGAAGGATTTGGCCAGCAGGAGGGAGGTTTCAGGAAAAGGGGAGTTGAAAAGGAAGAAGCCAGCGAGCAGGAGGGAGGCTGAAAGAGTTTTGTTGGAAAACTCTGTATCCTTTTTAAAAGCCCAAGGAGGAAAGTTGTTATTTAAAAGCTTCCTCTGCTACCGCCACCTCCCTCCCCTGCAATTTGTACTGCTCTGTGCAGTCCGCCGTGATTGCTCTCCTGAAAGTGTCCTTAGTGCAAGAGGATACTTGGACGAGTACACTGAAATCCCAGTTTCGTATGGTCGGTTTGTGCTTTTTCTCTGCTTCCCTGGGTGTTGATTTTTCCCATTTCTCCACAAGTGGACATACATCTTCACAAACAGCATTACAGCAATACCAAAAAAAAGAGAAATCGCTTCTCGAGCAGCTGCTTTTTAAAAAGACCATTTCCATGCCCTGGTCTGCTCTTCAGCACATGTTTTCCTTTGTAGGAATGATTTGTTATTACTCACTTTAATTGGCTGGATTAAAATCAATTCCCCCCTTGAACAAGATCGTTTCATAAATCATGCTGCAACATGGTTTTGTAGTAAAGCTGATGTATCTTATCTATTCAGCAATCGATCATGAAAATGCTCATGAATCTTCTTGACAGGTTAAATGGTATTTACTCCGCAAAAAGTGAAGTGCCAACTAACTGGCTTGTTGCAACTCTCCGTGATACCCTTGACCTTTATGTATGTGATGCAGCTGTTGTGTCTTCAATTATCAATGAGGGAAGCATTGAACCATGCTTTAGATGGACGGAACGCAAAAACCTGCCTCGAATACATTTTGATGGTTTTCGAAAACACACAGACATAATTCTGCAGAGAGGTGATGAGCAGATACATGTTTGATTATTCCCATTCTTGATATGATTTATTGGCTGCTAAATGGGAGTGTAAAACAGGTCTAGTGTACTAAATGAAAGTCACCTTGGTCAAGAGCATCAGCAGTGCCGGTAAATGGCAATAATGATAGGCAGCTCTGTTATAATGTTGTTAATGCGATCAGACGGGTCTTTCTAATCCTGTCTTTTACATTAGGCACCAGGCTGAAAAGGGCTGGCTGCCACCTTCTCCTCTTCACATCCCAGAAATCTCCCATCAGTAATTATTGGCCTGTGTTGCAGAGTACTGCTATAGTACTTAATAATATTGACAGGATGTTACCTTCCATTTTTCATCCACATGTTGTATGTGTGAGCTTTTATAAGCTCAGTAACACAAGAGAAAACAGCTAGATCAAAAAAACCTTCAGCCGCAGTGTACAACATCTATGCTCGTGTAGAGTTGTTTTTAACTAATCGTAGATCATGCAAAACTGCCACACAGTGTTATTAAGAGTGAGCCAGTTTGATTGCTTCTGTGTTCTCCTCGTTGCATGTTTCCGTGTCATAATAATCGTCTCAAGTGATGACAGACAGCTGTAATACCTTGTACTAATGATTGTCTCTGGCATTTCTCCTTTGCAGCTCCCATCAACCCTCACCTGAGTAAGTAACATGCACCTCACTTTGTCTAACTCGCCTGGGAGCTAGCTCCTTTCTCTTCTAACACATTGTGTGAAAACAGCGGGGAGAAGGCTTTCTGTGAGGATCTGATGCTCAGCGTGTCGTATTACCCTTAGCTAGACTAATTTATGTATAAAAAAGACTTTACTTCATGCGCTCCAAATAAAGTTGCATCAAATTATTTGACTTGCCGGCATTCCGTTGATCTCCTGTTTCGCTGAAATTTGGGCCCGTCATATGTGTGCATGAGTTCAGAACTTTGCAAAAATCTTGAGCCAAGGCCTTGTTTGTTCATTTATTTTCCTCTAAAGAGTCCCAATTCATTGCCGTGTTTTAAAATGGTCATGAGTGGTGGTTCTCACAGTTTTCTTTCAAAGTTTTCCTTTTGCCACTGGCTACTTTCTTACTCTCATTGATTACTTTCAAAAGAATGTGGAGGTCTCTTTGTTTATTTAGCCACTTAACACAGACCTCTAAGTCACTGAGGTATAAAAACAGGTACCTAATGTAATTAGCTTTGTGTCTTTTGTGGCTACAGAGACCAAACCACTGTTTTAAAGAAGTGTGGGATCATTTTGCCTGAAAACACTGGGCAGACAACACCCACAAAACAGCTTTGGGACGTCCCAAAAAAGCCTAGGATGCTATGATTTGGGGGGGGTTTTGAGAGAAAAAAAAATTACAAGAAAGCTTCTTTGAGAGGGTTCAGGTATTGTTGAGGAAGGAACAGGATATTAGAGAATAAAATGACTTTCACTCTTTTAATTGTATAGAATATTATGTATTCCATACTTCCATTCTTGTTTACATATGTCTTATGTAGCTACTGTAAAGAAATTAGGGCTGGTTCAAGACTTTTCCACAACAGATGCACATGAGTGGTGCATTGTGCGCATTATTCACGCAAGCATCTGTGCCATATGTGTCTACATTCTTTAATGTTTAGTCTCATTTATTGTGCATTTCATTAGACAAATTTCCACATTATTCATGCCTTGAGAATCCAGTTTTAATCACTGTTTACTGTGCCGCAGTGTACGGTGGTTTATATATTTATAAAGACTATTTTTTTAGGGTATGTTCACACAAGCATTGCCAACATAACAACAAACATCCTAATCACCACCATCATTATCCAAATCCCTGCAGGAAAACTATCTTACCTAAACGCCTCCTCTTCCTTTCTCCTTCCTCTACCTATCCTCCACATTGAAATGCCTCTCTTGGGCACAGAGAGTGAAGGCATTTAGTTTAGCTCGCAGTGGATGCTTAATGTCTCACACAAGCCCTCCATTTAAATCTGCATGCCAGTGAGAAGAAGAGTCAAGTGTGCCGGGAAATGCGGCCCCTTCCTCCCCCTTCCCCACTTGGCCACCTTCTCACAGCATCGCTGCCCTTTCCCTTCCTCCGGTCTATCCACCCACACTCCACCTCAGTCTATGTTACCTCCATTACCTGAGTAAAAGCTGTAGATCCAAGTCCTCCCAAGGTCACCACTCCAAACTGCTCCCAGCCACGTTTTAATAAATCAATGAATATTTATCAGAGCACATGCCCACATCCTGAATTTAAATGCTCCTGTTTTACCATCTCTTTAAGGACGCTGCTCAGTAGCAACATGTCCTCTGGTTATGTGTTTAGCTTTGTTTGTTACATGGATTAGATGGAGGTTTTGACACCACTGATCCTGCCGCGGCGCCTTCATTAAACTGAATGTGTGAGTTCCTCACACATGCGGTATCTGACTATTCATTAGCATATTCATTCAAAATTTCCGTCAACACGACCCATCACAACCTCAGTGAAGGGTTACAATTACTGTTTCAGTTGTTAAAGGTGACAAAACTCACATTTCCATTTTCTCCATATACTCTATATTTACAAAAAAAAAGGAAAAACTGCTCTCAAAGGGGCGTGGAGGGTATCAGAGGAAAGAGGGGAGAGCCCAGATTCTCAATATCTTCAGCTACCCACCATCTAGAAGAGAGAATTCAGTAGAGAAGAAGGGACACGGTGTCAGTTTCACAAACTGATTATGCAGAGTGCTCCAAGTGAAGCTTTACAACGAACTCAAGGACATTTCCTGAATTACTCCCTCAGTCACATTCAAAGGGAATCCTACAAAATCTCAGGTTTTAGGCTGATTTTGATGATATTTCTTTCTTTTTTTTATTTTGTCACGCGCTTCCAACACTTTAAAAAAAATATACTATTGTTTTCATACGAGATATTGTGTTTAATGTAATATTGGTTCACCCACACACAACACCTAGAACTGTTGTGCGCTTGTCAGGGAAAGAGATCAGCCCACTCACAAACACCACTTCAGAGAGGTCACATCTTAATTTGGAAATTCTGTGCATCAGCTTGCACGATGTAATTAGGAATTAGGCTGTTGTATATACCTCTGAGACACACTCGCTGGAGGAATCTCATAAATATACAGTAGATGCTGCTCACATGGAGTCTGTAGCTTCCAGGCAGTTTGTAACTTTTCACTCTTTTGTGATGGTGGGAATGTAAAATCCCGGTTCTGCTCTGCTGCTCACCAGGGGAGTTCCACTGCAGCTTTGAGGATGAGCCTATCTGCATGTTCACCCAGGACAAGAACGACGATTTTGATTGGACGCGGCACAGCGCTGCCACCCGTGACACCAAGTACACGCCCAACACAGGTCCCAGCGCTGACCGCGCCGGTTCCAAGCAGGGTAAGTAGATCAGAAAACCAGCCTTCCTTTTGTTTGCCAGAAGTCTTTTCAAACAAAACACAACATATAACAAAAAAAAAACTATTTTAAAACTATTTTCCAGCTGTAAACTGTTAACTTTAATATTCCGAAAACAAATTGCCTGAAAGCCTCATAAGAACCCTTCCAAGCCATCTTACCACAGTGCGGTACTTTATTTGGGTAGGCATCTGTGAAGTCAAAGATGATTACACACCTAAGATGTGTGGTGATGGTGATGAAAGCTCTTTACGTCTTTTTTTTTTGTAGTAGGAGTAGTAAAAAACACTGGCAGGCACTTAATCTCTGAGCATAAGAAAAGAAGCACTTCTACTCACAACAGCGCTGATTACACACCTCACAGAGTGTTTTTCTACTACTGTGGTTCTAATGTTGCTTCAGTGAGGGTACCTTAGAGCTACTTCTTTATGTTTGAATTCACTAAAAAAGAAGGAAAAAAAACAACCAGACTAACTTAAATCAATATAAATCTTAAATCTAATCTTGTAGCAGCTTAAACATGAGCTTTTAAAAGGAGCCTCAGGGACAGTTTTTTTAAATAAAAAGTCTAAGTAGCATTATAATCATTTTCAGCTGTGGTTTATTTGTAAAAATTAACAGTGAAATTTTTTTTTAAATCCACCACAATAGCGGGTTAAAAAAACAGCTGGTTCAGAACTGTTTGGTTTTTCGCACAATGTGTCTGCAAACATAATTTCTTCTACTTGGATTGGAAAGTGGTTGAGTGGACAAATTTAAATGGATACACACTGTTCTTTCTGCTATAATCCAAGCATGAATACATGAATCTCTGCAGAGCACTGCAGGAAAACACTGTGATTATCTTGTTATTGGTAAACGATGTGGCAAGACAGAAATATTGCGGCGTACATTTTGATTGTGTTGAATCCTCATTTGTCAGCACGCCATTAAATTAGATTTTGCGAAATGTTGAAATAAGTTTGAAAAGTACTGGTCAGACAGCCCAATCTAACAATGAATAGCCTCTGTGATGATTTCTCTTTTAAAATGATCTAGTAAAGGAGCCTTTGAGACTGTTTCCATGGTCACAAAGCAAATGGCCATTTTTAGCATTTATTATTTTTGCAACATAAAAAGTTCCAAAACAAGTAAAAGTAGATAATAATAATTATCCAACACCTAAAGAATCCATAAACTGAATTAGACCATATGAGTTCTTCAAATGACTCTGTATGAATGTTTTGATGGAAGTTATCTGTGATTGAATGTAAGGGTCTTTTATGCTGTGGTGGCATCAGCAGCAGCTGAGGCAGTAAATAATGCATCGGCTTTAATCACCTAATGGTTTCAGAAAGTCCAGCATTTCATTACCAGATCTATTCCTCCCTGCATAGAATTATCCAAAATGAGATTCAGTGGAAGGAGATATTCCATTTGATTTTGGCTGGAGGGGCGTGGAACTGCTTTGCAAGCCACCTTCTCTGAGCCTGTGGCGGGGCACAGATTGGCTTCAGATTATTTGGCTCAGACTCAGTCAGAGGACTGTCTGACTCACTGGCATTTTAGCTGCCTCGAGCTGTCGCGATTAGTGAAAGAAGAACTTCAGAGAAAGCTTCATGCCTAATCTTTCAAATGAAAGGTTCCATTTCTGTCAGGCTATCAGTGTTTACAGGGAGGCAAATCATGATAAACTTTATATATTCATCACGTATATGCACTGTTTTCTGAAGTTTCTGGGTCGTGCTATTTCCATTGCAAGACGTGTCCTCGAAATGTGAACAATTGGAACTAGACTCACTACCTATGCTCTTGTTGAATCTGTAATAATGGCCATTCTTTATGAATATGGGCAAGAAGTGCAAATGCTCTCACAGTCTCTGTGCTGGATCACCATATATGTCTAAGATATACCACTTCATCAGTAGTTATTACATTGTTTTCTCTGTAAAATCCACTTAATTCGAGATGGAGTAGGATCCTTATTTCTTAATTCCATCTGTAACAAAATATATTTTTGCACGTATCTTTTTTTAGTGATCCTTTGATGGTACCTTTATTCATTTTTAATAGCTTGTAATATTGATATGCAGGTGCTGACTACCCTGTCTGTTTGTTTGTTTACGTGTGTTTAAGGTTTCTACATGTACATTGAGACCTCAAGACCCCGCAAGGAAGGGGACCAGGCACGACTTATCAGTCCGTTTTTCAACATAGCACCTAAAAGCCCCTATGGTATCACCAATCCACCTGCCTACTGCTTTGGCTTCTTCTACCACATGTATGGAAAACACATAGGTAAGACACATTCTTATATGGGGTTACCTTATAAGTAAATACAAATGAGTATGGCCTTTTAAAGTATGTGTCACTGTTCCTGGGGCATTTTCACATCACTTTGGCAATACACTACTTTACCAAGAGGACTTTACATTTTTGTTTTTGTCGAAGAAAACACAATCAATAAGGGAAAATATGTGTGTCACCAAGCATCCGTCAAACGCCACTCTGGCTTTGAAACATAAACTTGAAAGATGAGATTCCTGAATTGTCTTTCCTCTACCTTTGTGTTTAACAGTGGGGTGCTCGTCTGCTTGTTATGTGCATAACATGAGAGACCATTTGTTTGTCTCTGCGGCAGAGAAAAGAAAGAAATGCAGCTCCTTTTACTGGTCCAAGCGTCAGAATTTCAGTCATTTCCGGGGAGCCGGTCCACACAATGCCTACTTCTTGGACTTTTTGTGCTTTCATGCTAACATTTAGTAAATTTGGCTGAAAAAATATGTTCTATTCTTGCAACAGCTAGCTTCAAAGGTGTAGACACAGATGCTGGGCATTAGCTCTTACATCCATCTCTGAATGGAGATAACAGCCTGTATGGTCCATTTGAAGATAGCAGGGCGACTGAAGGAGCACTCTACGCCTTAAGAGTGCCTCTCCTCACCAGAGACCCAATCAGCCGACAAACACTCCTGCTCTGAGTGTGTATGGTTTGTAGTGGTGCACTTGGGAGTTGTAAGTAAGAATAGGTCTAACCCCCCCACCCCCCCAAAAAAACATTTTTTGAGGGTCTGTTGTGTTGAAATCCATGATTCAAGTCAATTTCCTATCATTAGCTTTTGCACATGTTTTTAAGGGAGGGGAGGGAAACGACCACTGCAGACCTCCGTGTAATGGAACACATGCCCTCAATTCATTGAAATCATTTATCACTAATGACTAAAAAAGAGAACACAGGTTTGTACTCATAAGATGAAAAACACCCCATGTATCTGATCTTTTCTCCTGTCTTGGGTCCACACCACCCCCAATTACATAAAAATCAATGTCTTAGGATTGCTTTTTTTTATTAAGTCAGTTATATCCAAATATATTTTGAATAATTTCTCAGTGTATCGTGGAAAAAAGGTTAAATGTAAGGGGAACTCATTCATTGAGCTACACGCCAAGATTAAACATGCTAGCCATGGTAATTTTGGGGTTTCCTACATTGGAGTGCACCTAGGAAAGTGTTCTGACAGATGTGTCGGCCCAAACATCTGGAGCTGTAGGAAAGGGGGCAGTCTTAAGGACAGAGGTGTTGGAAGGTGACTCGGCAGAGAGATGGGAGCTCCTTCGGCTCACTGCCGAGGTTGAGTAGGCCGTGACATTTCCAATTTGTTCAAATTGATCGCCAGCCAGACTCTCTCCACCCTCCCTTCCCTGTTTGTGGTGAAGCCCATGCCCAGACGCTGGCATGTTATGATGAATAGGCTAAATGTCAAGGACTTGAAACCCAGCACAGATCCTCCATAGCCATATTCCGTTTAGTATGCTCCCCCCACGAACGTGAGAGAAATTCACCCTGAGCTCAGAAGTGTTGCTACACTCTCCCGACAAAAATGTTTTTATAGTTGAGGGATTATTTTGTACTTAAAAGTGTGAGTCACAGATCCATTACAGGTGGCACTGCATCCTGAAATGTTGCCAGTCTGACATTCTTTGGGACTGTGCTGTCGAGGTGAGCCAGCGTCACGCTGTGGTGGCAGCGATGGAGGGCACAACGGGTTGATGGGTAGACTCAACTGGACATTGATGAGGACAGTGTCACAGCCTCGAAGATTAAGATCACTGAGATGAGGTCACACTCACACACTGAAACACACATCAAAGTTTGCCTCTTTAGCCCGTATTGGATCGGTTTATAGGATTAGGTCAGAAGCAAAGTACCAAGTCTGTTTCAAGCCTGACCTCCTTTGTTTTAAAAGAGTCATTTCTTTGATCGCTAAATCACCTCAGCCCCCCTCTGTCTCATCGTTTATACATGAGTGAACATTTCCTCGAGCAATTTCTCACTTTTCACCAGGCTCAAATCTTTTTCTTCTCAGATCTTTTTAAATTTCACAAGTGTCTGTCTAAGGTTCTGATCTAAAAACAGATACTTAGAATATACAGCGTATGCCTTCTCTGAGAATGTGATGACACCGACATAACCAACTACATTGCGATGAGCTCAGAGAAAACATGAGCCAGCTAGCTCAGCAGGAAACCTCCTACATTCTAAACACTTCAACAGGAGATGAAACCGCAGGTCATGTTCTTTGCAAGAGCTCATCTCTCACAGGAGATTGGGCCGTCATATGGGAATGTGCATACCAAGCTGATGAGAGAATATGAACCGGGACATGTAGTGTAGCTTTGCCTGTTCTCCTCACACAGATGTTTTTTTCTTTTTCGTTTGTTTTTTAAGGGAGATGTAATGAGACACCTCGCCGAAGCAAAGGCACATCAAACACAAAACTGAAGTCCCAGTCGTAACTGTTGTTGCTCACTGGTCGTGTCATCACAGACATTCTACTTTCCCTACCTGCACGACTCATTTGACGTAGGAGCGGTGGTCTTTGCTGAGTTTTGAAAGGGCATTAACCCCAACCTGGTTTGGTCTTTTGGATCCCCTCCTGCTGGTCCAATGAAAAAAAATGGAGCACAATGCACTCTCTCTCACACTCTCCCTACGTGGGGAATTGAAAGAAAAAAAACTGGAGACAATCGGTGTGTTTGGAAGGGAGAGTAACGAGGTTGCAGTCCGTGTCATCATCTTACAGTTGGATATCAAAGCCCAGAGCCTGACAAGGTTTCACTGAGGGGAGTCTTCTCTTCAGACCAACTATATAGCCCATTCTGTATCAGTGAGAGCCAGTATTCTAGCATTATTGTAAGGGTTATATTTGAACTCAGTAGAAATCAGTCTATCATAGTGTATTTTTTAGGCAGAGCAGGCTTCTGTAGTGACATGTAATAGTTTCTCTCGCATAGCTCAGTGGAAATCTGACTGAGATGAAAAGGAAGCTGAACCAGGTGGAGAGAAACTAATGCTAATGATGATATAAGAACATCTCTCCTCCACGGGGAACCCATTTGCATTCAACGAAAATTCTCATCACACATTGGCCATTAGTGATAATTAATTTTGATTATCACTTGCCACAGAATCATTTATAATCGCTTGCAGGACTTCAGCCTAATAAATGTAGCAACTCACATGGCCTGACGTTAACCTTTGCCACAGCTTGGCTTCGCTTCATATGCAGGAGAATATATGAATTTTGAATAATAAGAACAGAGTGAGCGCAAAACTTAAAGTCCAATTTATCCTGCAACAGAACCAGAATTCACAATGTAGTCTTTACACTGTGGGTGGTATCTGGTAGGAAAACTACCATTAAAAAGGACATGAACTTTTTGCATCTTTGACGAAAGCCTCTCTATATAAACACTGGGAGGTCTCTAACTCTAAAATCAGTCTGCCCACCCTGACCTTCTGTCCTGTCACGTAGCTACATGCTATTCCACATAACCTGATGCAGCCTCTGATGTGTGGAGCCACTGTAATTAAGAACAACTGGTTCAGGAAGTTCGCTGCTGCAAACTGAAATCGTACTTGTACGCGCACCAAGCTGTGGAATTTACAGTCTGTCTCCTTCACGCAGGCACACTTAACGCCTTCCTAAAACAGAAGGGCCAAACGACCTCGGAGGGTCCTGTGTGGTCGCTCAGTGGTAACCAAGGTGAGCGGTGGAAGCAGGCCAAAGTAAGCATCCATCCAACATCGTCCTTCCAGGTGAGACAAAAGAAAAAGTAATCAATCTAGTGAGCCGCAGTGCTCTCCTCGCTGCCCTCTATTTTCGCTGTTTGTAAGTTATTTGTTTCCTTTGGGGCTGAATACAAATGTAACATATCACAAGTAGCAATATCAAGCAAAGATGTCTGCGGCATCCACAGGCGTTTTTCAGTACTGGGGTGGCTCTATTGCTCATGCACTCTGTTACCAGGGAGCTGCCACAATGTGAGCGGGGATGCACAGAAACACAGAGTTCATTTTATCCTCACGACTGTGTCAGGTTTATGCTTCATTCATATGTTCAGCAACACCTTTTGTTTCTTTTTTTACCCCCACTTCTGGGCTCAGCAATTTAAACCACAAGCGCACCATTTTGCGAAATCAGATATTGAAACACAAACAGCCACCCCGCTGTAACATTTTCAAATTACACTTAATTGCCCTGCGCACCGACTGAAATTTGATCTTGTTTTGCAAATGTTGCAAAAAAAATAAAATAATGTTTCATCAACGCTGGATATCTACCTTGTATTCCTCTGCACAGGTTGTCCTTGAAGGTATCAGGGGCCCAGGAATTGAGGGGGACATTGCCATCGATGATGTCACGCTGGAGGAAGGGGAGTGTCGAGACCCGCCGCCCAGTGAGTAGAACTTCTTCAGTCCTTCCAATCTCAGCTCCAGGTTTGCCTTCATCCCCAGACAAAGTTGTGGGAATCCAATCTCAGACAGTTAGCAGCATTAAATGACCATCTCACGGCGAAAACAGGGGTTGTCATAGCAACAGGGTTGTAATCACATGAACGATGGCCGTGCTGCTGGCTGAGTGGAGCACTGTAATTGTACCTCAGGAACAAAGCGGAGGTAAGAGGAGAAAAATAGCCTCAGAAAATGGGCTGCAGTTGACAAGGTCATATTGTTACCCAGACAAACTCTGCTCCTTTTATTCAATTTCTGTTATTTATGATGCGATTTCCCAGAGCCTCTCAAAGGTAAGCGTCTCTTAACAAAGCATAAACAAACCAGGGCTATCCATTTGAATTATTTATGTCCGTGTTGGAAAACAATCATAAGTCTGAAAAATTCTGAGGCAGTTACACTGATTTCTGGATTTTGTTTAATTACCAGTAATATCATTGTGAAATAAGTTTTCATCCGGATCCAAAGCCACAACATTAATTCATTTGTGAGTAACAGGGTGGTCGAAAGAGGGAAGATGGAGTATTATGAATTATGCAATTCAATCTCACATGATGAATCTTGCATGACTTGAGGTGATGTAAGATGGAAAATCGAGAAATGTCTCATAAGGACCCATCTGAGGGGGAATTCTTACTCGTGAGTTTTTGCGGTTCTGATTTTTTGATGTGCCCACATAGATTGGTTGCACGACAATGGATTAGTTTTGAGATGTTGGATAATAGTTTATTTGCAGACTTTCTGAAAGTCAACTGGGAAGAACTAGGCCAGCGTTCTGCCTGTTTGTTTGGTAGTTTAGTGGATTCCTACAGCGAGGCTGCTCACAGCCAGCAGAACATTGTTTGCTTGTTAAATGCTTTCTACAGTATAAAGAGCAAAGATTGACCAAAAAAAAAACATGCTGCTAGAAGTGGTTCGCAAAATTGTCCGTTAAACAAGTCATGTTATTACAGCATTGATTTTATCTGGTGGAATATAGCAGAAAATTGAAAATATCTCTTCGTAACTTCGGCTGACAAAATGGTTCAACCGCCTGATACGTGTGCTATTTCCATGTATTCATTCCGCTCTTGTATTTGTACAGTCATCTCATTTCTATGCATCTCAAAACATTCAGACTCAAACCTCCCCACTGCCGACATGTAGTGCAATACAGCCTTTGCTTTAGCTTCACAATTAAAGAACACAAAGTATAACAGTATTTCAAAGAATTCCCTCCAAGAACGTTGATCGTTTGTCCTGTTATTGTGTTTCTTTTTACACAAATGCATACAACCAACAGTTCTAACTTTTTCTTTCTTATCTAATTCAGATATCAGCGCCAAGGCTCTGTCCACATCCTCCCATATATGGCTGCTATGTGTCACCTTGGTGCTGACCCTCCTAGAAGGTCAGAGGTGACCCTTCTCTCCGGCGTCTCAGAGGCGAACGTTCAGACCCGCCGTCTGTGAGCTATACCCTCGGCATCCAATCACCAAAGATTCATGCATCTTGAAAGCGGCAGGGTCCCCAGAAGGACCTCAAACTACAGGTGGGGTGAGGCGTAGTCTATAAAGGAAAGACAAAACAAAAAGTAATAACGCCGATCTGCTAGGTTTTTTTTGTTCGTTTGTTTTTCGTTTTTCTTTTGAGGAGACCTCTTTTAATGGGAATCACCCCTCGGTGCAGGACTTGGATGTCTTCATGAAAGCACAAAGACAGGTGGGCGATGAATGAGCCTGGACTTTGGTGGAGGAGTTCACAAGCGCTGAGGGAGCTGAGATTGTAAAGCACAAGAATCATTTTATGACGCTAAGGGGAAAACCTTTGGAGGCAGCGGAGTCCAGATACTGCTGACTTTTGAAAAATTGAGTAACATTTCCCTGCTTTCCAATGCGTGGATTCAGACCTTTCTCTGTGCATCTTTATCTTCATTTTGCCAATCGCTGACACTTGTTTTTCACTCTAGCCCAGCCTCACATCACACCTTGGCATTTCTTTATCTGCTTGGTGCTGTTCTGTTGACAAAAAAAGGGACTTGGGCAACATGTAGTTCTCTCTGCTTTCTCCCCCTGTAGCTACCGACTTATCTTTTAACACTGTGCTCACGAGTCCAAGTGGCCAGCCGACGGCGTGGTGGCAGGAGAATCAGCAGAGGTGTGGGCAGCGGGAGAAGTGGGTGGGGTAAGGATGGAAGAGTAGGCGGGGATAAATGACAGGGCTTAGCGAAAGGCCCGAATAGTGGAGCCTGACTAGAATATTCAGTCAGCGATCTGCCCATGGAACAGAAGCCACTTTACTTTCTGCCATGAAACAAAGTGCCTTCAGACAACAAACCGAATCGTGAGCCTGGGTGTTCATCAACATCGAAGTCTCTGTTCATGTTTCCTCTGATGGGCTATTTTCTATGTTTCTTTTGCCCCACAAGTGCTGAAGGGAAGGCAGACGTGTTCGGAGGGAGTCTGGGGCTCAGCTAAACCGGGATTACGTTCCTCATGGGACAGCTGTCTGTGGCTGCACATGCAGCTTTCTGTGCGTGCCAGTGCACACGTCTGTGTGGCGCACATATGCGACTAGGTCTACGCACAGTTTCCCTAGAGGGCAGCCAACCAGGCAGCGCTGGCAGACCCTGAGCACAGGTTTGGAGGCAAATAGATGAAAACAGCTAAATGGAACAGTAAAAGTGAGGCTGAGGATCTTTTTCTTTTTTTTTTTTGGAACATCTGAAAGACAGTATATGATCACACAGGAGGATAAAGACATTTCATGGAATGAATTCCCCGCTCTTTTCTCATAATTCTCCCTCCCTACAGGAGAGCGTTTTTTTCATAAAAAAGAAGACAAACTGCTGAATAAAACATTTCATTGTACAGGGAGGAGAGCAAGAACTTTGGGACTGCTGGCTTTTCATTTGGGTGATACGCCTCACCCGTGTCCTCCACCATTTATATGGAACAGTATTAAAATAAAAGATGATAATGACCATAATAATAGTCATGATATTTTATTACTCTAGCGAGAATGTTTCTCTGCTTTTACATAAACTGTGAAGACTGACTGTGGAAGATCTACCTGAGACCATAACCTTAACCAGCGGGGTTTTTAAAAAAAAAATGTATTGTAAAAAAGAGCAAATAAGAATATGAAGAATTCTGTTCATTGTTGGTTATGACAAATGTTTTGAGGACTTGTGTCTTGTTTCCTTTTTTCTTTTTTTTTTTCTTTTTTAAGATGACTTAACTTACTTTCTCTTCTTGTTGTCTCCCTTTGCATTGCTAAAATATCAAAGCTGATGGAAGCATAAGAAGTCAACCAATTTGGTAAATGTATAACTTGTAAATGTTAAAGAAGCTCTATTCAAAGGTTTATGATCAATGTTTTTTGTTGGATTACAGGAAGCACAACATACAGTTTAAGGTCTCAACACGTAAAATCCATTTTATATTTCTCAGCACATGCATGATCTACTCCCACCAATTCAGGCTTTTGAACTTTCAAGTCCATATTTAACAGCAAATTGCCCATTTTCCACCTGAAGTACATAATCATAGCACAACCACAACACATGAGAACGCCGAAGGAATACAGTCAAGAGCATAAATAAAATTTACATGAATGCAGACATGGTGTTGGTGGTTTATCATATGTAGCCTCCTATGTTAAAGCCTGGATTAGTCTGAGTGGGTTGTGTACATGTGTTAGCATAAAGCTGTGTACAATAGTTGTGAAAAGAAACCTACATGTAAAGAAGATAAATGATGTACGCTAAGCAAAACAGAGCAGAATGATGAGCATTTTCAGGGCATCCTTATAATATATTCCTTTGTCGTCTGTATGATGGTATTACAGAGATAGTCATCACATGTTATCTGCTATCAGTTTCAGTTTGTAAAAAAAAAGAAAAAAAACATTTTCATTTCAGATTTCTGATCACACTGAATGTAAATGAAGTTCTTGAGCGTTCTTAATCTTATGGTCTTGATAGATGTAATGTTTTACTAAATCATATGTTTCTGTGTGCTTTTGATGATGAGAACTTTCAGACTTTTATAGGTTCTTTTGGACACATCGAGAACATGCAGTCTGACGCAGACGGACGCGATTTCCAAAAATCTAAAACTCAGATCAAATCCATTACCTAGCTGATCCTAGCTCACTGCTGTATCCCCTCAGTGGTTTCGTACATAACAGGAAAAAAAAACCCAAAGTGCCCATGCAGTCTTCGCTGCTACAAAGTATGGTTATGAGTTTATCAAGATATTTGACAACTGCTCCTTTTACATCCCCAAACACCTGATTTATTCACAAGGAGAACAGGAGATCTGCACATAATGGTGGCCAAGACAAGACAAGAATACAACACTAGTTAAATAATGGAATACATCCATATTGTTGTCAAAGCTTAACTGGAAGAATTCAACATTTTGGGAAACTTTCTTGATATGGTCATTTTATGTATGGCTATGTTTAAACTACACCTTGGAGCCATGGAGCATAGCTTAAAACATGCAACAAGGGCACTTGAAGGCTAACATTGTCCAAAACATATCATATCTTCCCGCAGGCACCCCAAAACCTAACAGTAGCATAGCAGAGGTGTCTTAATGAACAAAGTGTTAAAATAATTAGTTTCCACATAAAAAATCAAGCACCCTCAAAAGAAAGATACATGTCCTATCAAATTATTCTCAGTGTTTTTTTTGTTTTTTTTTCCCCATTTAAATATTAAAGTCATTAACTAGGGGGCTTTAGTAGATGTGCTCATAGCCTTAATTTACAATGTTGGTGATCAGGCTTGCTATCTTTCCCAATGTGTGGTCATTTTGCTATCATAAGCTTCTTGGTTAGTGTCAGATAATCATAAATTATAAAAATGAATTAAAAAAATTGAGCCAAACTGTATCAAAATTCAAATCTGTGGTTGGAAAGACAAAATCCCAGGCAGACCTCATATTTCTTATCCTGATATTACGGGGGTATCGGGTACTGGGTAAATTCATGTAAAACATTTTAATGTTCGTCTCAGTTAAGAAAACTTGTGGCTGGAACAGCAAAAGAAATGATTGTTTAATTCTGCAGCTCAACTCGATTTCCATTTTTCTGTTCGCTCCCATAATGCCAACCCTTGCTCTTTGGAGCCCTGCATGTATGAGGAATGGGAGAATGGAGAGCATCTCTCAGTGTGCCATGCTTCTCCATAAATCTTCCAAGATCCTTCAAAGTACAATTATGGGGATTATCCGTCTCATTTTTAAAATGTAAAAGATGTGTGAAACTTTGCTTTCTTACAATGTTTAATCAGTTTTAGTTCAATGAAAAGCAGCCTCTGTAGTTGTGAAAGGTGTGAGGTGCACACAAACTAAAAGGAGGAAAAGGGTTTGAGATAATTCAGGATTAGTGTGCATGCTGGAGCTTAATCCCAAATGCTGAGGGTTTTGTTTTACATCAGTGGGCATGGAGCACTGTACTTTTTTTCCCCTTGTGGTACACTTTCCAAGCAGTATATTTATTTTCATATAGGTATTAAAAAGCAAAGTTTTATCTACAAAAATTGGAACGTACTCTACATTCTGTTGAAAGTCGCATTTCGACTATTCACGCAGCCATTCTTATTTTTGGATAATAAGCGACACAGTCTGATTTCTGCTGGTGATGTTCTCCACATGCGTACAGCTCTGGATATTTTCAACATACCAAAGATTCAGCATTGGTATATTTTCTCCACATACAAACATTTTGGTCAAATCAATCCAGCTGGAAAGATAATTGCTTTTCAAGCCAGCATTTCACTCCGCTGCCAGCCTCTGTGCAGCAGCTCAGGTTATCTCTCACTTTCATTTTGACATTATTAGTTTAAAAAGTTTTAGTGATCACATGTTATATTTATAATTTCCAAAATAGTTGCAAAGGGCCAAAGTTGTACCTTATCTTTAGGGATCTTGATAAGATGGTTTGTTTTATGATAGTCCGGCCCCACACAATACAATGAAGATGCTATACAAATCAACAGCTGCTTGGGAAATTAAGATTAAAGTATAGCTACCATGAAATTGATTTTATATTTTAAAAAGTAAAGTAGTGAAATTTGGTGTCATGATTAATACAGGCCATTAGAAAACACGGTCTTTGTTTGCTCAATATCTTTTTCTTTTTTTTTCTTTTTTTACAAGCATTCAAAAGGGATTTCAGAAATTTGTGTCTGTCCCACATGGTTCATGGAACACATGGTTTTAGTGTTGGTTCGTCTTAGGCTAAAATTTGAAAAAAAAAAAAAATCTCACTTACTAGGTTTGACATTGATGGATACATGAACGAATAATGCAGTTGTGCATGAACGTACCCAGTACTTACCTTAATGCCTTTAAATTGGAGGTACTGTAGCATTTCAAGAATGAGGTCTGTCAGAGTTTTTTGAATATAATTACTGCCACACGAAATTGTTTCAAACAATTTCCCAGTTCTTTGGTAAATTTGATTAAATTTATCCATGTGAGAAGAAGCATGACTAGCTGCTGAGGGACTAAATGTAATTTAGAAGAAAGTTTTGCCTTAATTCCCAAAAGTGCATACCTCATGATGTTATAAAGTACATGTTGAGGAGAGCCTGCTTAAAAAGTGAAATGCTGCTCAGTTATGCGGCTGAACACAAGATGGTTCCCACTCTGATTTCACTACAAAGGGGAAATTCAACATAATTTTCTGCATATTTGCCAGTTTGGTCGTTGCTATGAATAACTGGAGATTTATACCTTGATTTTCAAAGTTTAGAAATCCTGTATTTCAAGCATCTGTAAAAGGACTAGTGCTGTCTTTCTGAATGGATACGCTCAAATTTTCTGTTCAACTCAAGAAGGGCTTTGTCACATAGTGCCATTCATGCTATTTTAGCCCTGACCCCCATCCCGCTCTCTGAAATAGAATAAAAAAACACTATTAAAGTGAATTGAATTGAATCCCCTTTTCCCTTTTATCAACATACAGCCATCCTGCTTTCTTTGTAAAGAGAGCTGTTCATTTGTGAGCTGTAAACATTTCTGTCAAACTAAATTTGAGCAGTTACTGTTGTAACAGCCTCGTCAGGGTGCTGAATTACACTTCAACACTCTGGCTGGTCAACAGCAAGGGACTTCTAGATGGGAGCTTGTTGCATCTCATTAAATTAGTTGAAAAGGTAGACACGTTTC